ATATTAGATATTAAAAAATGGATAATTTATTATAAAATATCAATTATTCATAAAAAAATTTTAGTAACAAATACATAAATATAACTAATATATATAATTATATATAAACTTGCAATTTATAATTATAATACATCTTTTGTTTAAATTAAGACAAAATAATTTTGGATACATATATCAATTCAATTCATAAAATTATTTTTTATTATTTTTAATATTGTATTCGCAAAAATTATTTAATGATTTACTTGTATATTTTTTTATTTTTTATTTCCTATATCAAATCTAATATCGATATCTGGATCAGTAGTTTTGTTTTTATAAATATGAATAACAATTTTATCATTCAGAACTTCTATAAATGTAGAATTATTTTTTGTTACATCAGTTTGCAGTAAAACAGAAGAGTCATTACTATAAATAATTATTGTTAGCGGACCTGGAATGCATTGTATTGGTTCTGGTTCCCATTGACCATTATTATTACATCTAACCCTTGAAGATGATGTCAGCCTTGTATCTTCACGATAACCAGGAGAACATTTTAATTGTGCTATTGTTCGAGGTAAAACAGAATCAAAACATGATACTGATATACCATCATATGTACAATCAGCAAACATAGAAGGTGATTGCAATTTTGTACAACGTACTTCTGTAATATATACAATATATAATATATATTCAATATTTTATTATTATTTAATATAATATAATTTTACAATATTTTTTCATACCTACACAAGTTGGAATAGTTAACCATTCACCTCGACTACAAAATGCAATAGCAGAATTGTTTAATTTATAACCAGAATTGCATGTATATACTAAATATGCACCTGATTCTAACCATGTACCTTGTTTAACATCACAATTCTCACATTGATGATCATTTTGTTCAATACAACATTGTGACTTGTGTAATTTCCAATAACCATTTATTGGTTGTGGTGGTACAAGACAAGATTTAGATTTAATTGTGATAGGAGATTGGGAAGTTGTTAAATCAATAGGAATTAATCCAGGTGTAGTTGTTTCTATTTCTTTGCATTGTCTAGGATATTCATCTGAACCATCTGCACAATTTTTAATTCCATTGCACTTTAAATCACCATCAATGCAGGCCCCATAATCACAACGAAAAAAAAATTTGGGACAGCTATAAATATTTAAACTAGATGTGTACATTACATTAATTAATTGATAAATTAATTTTTTCAATATAAATATTTTTAATCATTATATAAATAAATAAATTAATATAAATTTTTTAATTAATTATATATATTAAATTATTAATTTATATAAATTAAAATAAATATAAATTAATTTTTTAATATAAATGTTTAATATAAATAAATTAAATTAAAATTGTAATAATAAATAGTTAAATATTTATTATAGTTAAATATTAAAATTGTAATAGTTAAATATTTATATAAAAATAAACTTTAGATTTTTCCTTTTCACTATATACTACTTACTTGATTGAACTGCATTGAATAATTGTTTCATCTGAATTATCTGTACAATCTGCTATGCCATCACATAAATTACTTTCAGCAATACATTGTCGATTATTACATTTAAATTGATTTTTTGCACATGATGTAGATGCATTAAATGAATTATTTATACAGTTAGGTAATGTTTCATCACTATTGTCAATACAGTTTTTTATTCCATTACAAATTGCATCTCCATCTATACATGCACCATATGAACAACGAAATGTATAATCTGGACATGTAGCCATTTCAGGTTTATTACATTCTATATATGTTTCATCAGATTCATCTTTACAATTTGCCTGTCCATCACATAATAATTCACTTGCTATACATTCTCCATCTTTACATTTGAATTTGTCTATTCTGTAAGGAATTAATTTTTCATTTTATTATAAATTTGTTTCTTATTGAATATTAATAATTAAATAAATTTGTGAATGATATTTTATTGATAAAATAAATATGTAGGAAAATATTAACTTACCCACATTGTGCATATCCATACTTTATCAAACCTATAAAATAAATATAAATTATTTTATTTTATTATTTAAATTTTTTTATCTTATTTTATAAGAATTTTACTATTTTATTTATTTATTTTTTATTTTAAATCTATAATTTTTACATTTTTACTATATAAATTTTCACACTATTTATATTGTATATTTTTTTAAAAGATTTGTTTAAAATAAAATAATATAAATTTGTTTTACGATTCTATATTTTTTATTATTTTCTTTACATATATATTTATCTTTTCTTATTACATATATATTTATAATTTACAATTAAGATATATTAAAATTTATCAGATTTCAAGATCATTAATATATATAGATTTTTAAAATTATAAAAATTAAATATTTCTTTAATTTTTTTTTTAATGTCGTAACAATTCTTAAATGA